TGGGTCCTCTATGCATTGTAGGTAGATCATGGCTGGCTCCTCTATGCATTGTAGGTAGATCATGGTTGGCCCCTCCATGCAATGTAGGTAGATCATGGCTGGCCCCTCTATGCATTGTAGGTAGATCATGGTTGGCCCCCTCCATGCAATGTAGGTAGATCATGGCTGGCTCCTCTATGCATTGTAGGTAGATCATGGCTGGCTCCTCTATGCAATGTAGGTAGATCATGGCTGGCTTTTCTATCACTGACCACAGGCCATTCCTAGGCAGGCTGCATTTTTCATATAGGACAGGAGCCTTTATAACTGAACAAGACCGAAGGGAAGGCTAGAGCTCAGCTCTAAAGGATAAGCTTCTTGAAGTAGCCATGTGATCAACGTAAAGGTTCTGAATGAATACCGATGATAGAAAACCAGAACCTCGAGGTTCTTATGTACCTTGGACAGCACACACTAGTGTTAGGCAGCCTTCCAGCTTCTCCTGTAAGCTATGGGGTAATGGGTCTGGCCATCCCCCCCCAACTGTACTCAACACAGGTGGCACCTTATTTAACTTCATCAGCCTGTTACCCACATCTGCTATTATCTGGGATTACCTCCGTAATGCAGAGTGCAGGAGTCAGTAATATGTAACGTAGCGTGCAAGGGACAGTAGTAAGTCATGTAGAGTGCAGGGATCAGTAGTAAGTCATGTAGAGTGCGGGGATCAGTAGTAAGTAATGTGGAGTTCAGAGTTTAGTAGTAAGTAACATAAAGTTCAGAAGTCAGGTATAGTTAATGCATAGTGCAGGGGTCAGTAGTAAGTAACACAAAGTTTAGAGGTCAGTAGTATGTAATGCAGAGTTCAGGGGTCAGTAGTAAGTAATCAGAGTTCAGAAGTTAGCAGTAAATACTGTAGAGTTCAGTCAATCAGGCACAATCAATGCACAGTGCAAGGGTGAGGAGTAAAAATACAGAGTTTAGAAGTTAGCAGTAAGTAACACAGAGTACAGAGGTCAGTAGTATGTAATGCAGAGTTCAAACATCAGTAGTAGGTAACACATACTGCAGGGGTCATTAGAAAGTAAAGCAGAGTTCAGAGATCAGTAGTGAGTAATGCACAATGCAGCAGTCAGTACTAAGTAATGCAGAGTTCAGGGATCAGTAGTGAGTAATGCAGAGTGCAGGGGTTAGTAGTAGATAATGCAGAGTGTAAGTGTCAGTAGTAAGTGAAGCAGAGTTCAGAGGTCAGTAGTAAGTAATGCACAATGCAGTGGTCAGTACAAAGTAATGCAGAGTTCAGGGATCAGTAGTAAGTAATGCAGAGTTCAGGGATCAGTAGTAAGATAATGCAGAGTTAGGGGTCAGTAGTAGTAAGTAATGCAGAGTTCAGAAGATCAGTAGTAAGTTATGCAGAGTGCATACGTCAGTTGTAAGTAATGCAGAGTGCAGGGTCATTAGTAAGTAATGCAGAGTTTAGGGGTCAGTAGTAGTAATGCACAGAGTGCAGGAGTCAGCAGTACTAAGTAATGCAGAGTTCATAGGTCACTAGTAAGTAGAGTTCAGAGTAATTAGTAATGCAGTGCACGGGTCAGTACAAAGCACAGAGTGTATGAGTCCGAGCAGTAAGTAATGCAGATTTCAGAGGTTTGTAATAAGTAGCACATACTGCAGGAGTAATTAGAAAGTAAAGCAGAGTTCAGAGGTCAGTAGTGAATAATGCACAATGCAGTGGTGGTCATTCAGACGTCAAGTAATGCAAGCTCAGTTCAGACATCAGGAGTATTATTGCAGAGTGCAGGGGTCAGGAGTAAGTAACACAGAGTTTTGAGTCAGCAGTAAGTAGCAATGCAGAGTGCAGGGGTTGAAGTAGTAGTAATGCAGGTCAGTATTGTAATGCACATTGCAGGGTCATTGCCCCACCACAGACTTACCCTTTCCCTTTTCCTGAAATGTCTTGCAGTAATGCAATGCAGCGTGTCAGTAAAAGTAACGCAGAGGTCTCCCAGAGGTAGTACATGTAAGTAAGAGCAGAGAGAAGGGTCAGGGTAGTACAAAACACAGAGTGCAGTCCAGTACTAATGCAGAGTTCAGAGGTTTGTAGCAAGTAATGTAGAGTTCAGGAGTAATTAGAATACAGTGCAGGGGCAGTGGTAACACAAAATTCAGACGTCATTAGTAGGCAACAGAGTTCAGACATCAGGAGATATTATTGCACAGTGCAGCAGAGTCAGGGTGCACAAGTAACACTGGGGGGCAAGTTTGGAACTGATCCCCTGTATGGCTCTCTCTGCAGCAGTGAAAGCCAGCGGGAGGGAGAGCGCAGAAAGTTTGAAGTAAGTAAAGCCATACAGGGGATCGGTCAGTAATTAAGTAATGCCACATTGCAGCTGTCTGGGCTCATAGGCCCCATACAGAAAACTGGTTACCCTCCCCTGGGTCCCACACCTGGTTTGACAGCCTAACCTTTTTCCTGAAATGCCCTTGCAGCCCCCAGATGCAGCTTTGCCAGGTGAAGAAAGTTCTCTCAGGTCTCCCCTTGGTTATTTCATGTTACATCAGAGCAGAAGAGAAGCCTAGGATCAGGGCTAGTGTTAGAAACCACAGGGCCCCATACTGCCAACCTGACAGCCCCCCCCCCCCCCAGTTTACTATGCTTTAGTTGTGAATGAACACAGTGAGTGATTGGTACTGATCATACATTGTGTTCATTTAGGGAAGGAAGGGGCTGGTAAATGTGACATATTTACCGGATACTTCCCCCATTCTCCATCTTGAGGGGTCCTATTATGTGCTTGCAGCTGCTGGTGAGAAGGAAAGGAGGGAAACTGGCAGCACTGGGGGGGGGGGGGGGGGCACACAGGGGTTGCCTGGGAAGGGGGAAACCTATGGTGCCCAGGGAGGGTGATGGGTGTGGCGGGGGGAGCAATTACTGAAATCGATCTCCTGTATAGCCTTCTCTGCAGCAGCTGAAATCCAGCAGGAGGGAAAGGAGAAGAAGCCAGCTTTCAGCTGATGCAGAGAGAGCTATACAGGGGATCAATTCCAGTAATTGACCCCCCCCCCCCCCCCCAGGCACACCCACCAACCTCCCTGCCCACATCGGTTCACCCACTTGCCTGGGCCCCCCCTGCTGGCCTGGACCTTGTACAGGAGGACTGGAGGAACCCCCTTCTCCACAACCCTGCCTAGGACATCCCTTTGATCTGTAAAGCTTAGTGCTGCACTGATCTGAACTCTGAGAGGTGACGGGCAGAATCAGATGTTGGTGGGACAGTGGGGTCCTGATCTACCCATCAATGGCCGGGAATGGATGTCTAGATTGTGATTGACCAGTTTCCGACTCTAGCTCTAGCAACATTGTTCAAGAATGATGATAAATAATATTTGTCTTCATGTGTTCCCAGTGAGGGAAAAACATACAGAAGATTGGTTTGGTTTAGCCACATGTAGGGGTGTTTCAGGCAACGGCTGGATTAGGAGTATAGTCTAGGCCAGGGGTCTCCAAACTTGCTACACAAAGGGCCAGTTTACTGTTGTTCAGACTTCAGGGGGGCTCTAGCCAGCGGAAGTATAAAATGCCCTGGCATCTGTGCCCCATCATTGATTTCAAAGGGGGGAATAGTGCCCCATTGTTGATATCCGTGAGCAGAAAAATGCTCCATTGTTGATATCAATGAAAAGTAGAATGCCCCATTGATGGTGTCAGTAGGGGGAATGGTGCTCCATCATTGGTGACAGTTGGTGGAATAGCGCCCAAAAGGCCAGATAAACTCAAGCAAAGGGCCACATCTGGCCCCCCCGGGTCACAGTTTGGAGACCACTGGTCTAGGCCAACCTTTCTCAGCCAGGGTACCCAGGCGCCCTGGGGTGCCTTGGCAAAATGTCTACAAATTATACAAAACCTGTATACAAGTCAGCGGGTGGAATTCACATGGAAGAAAAATATATTTTAAAAATATTCTTCCCAAATATATTGACATGTATTTGAAATACTACAATTTTGGCCATTTTCAATATATTTCAAAATATATTTACAGTATATATATATATATATATATATATATATATATACACACACTGTATGTTGAAGTGCTTTTTTTATATATTACAAAATATATGAAAGATATTTTTTAAAAATCCATTTTCAAATATTCTGTATGTCTTTAAAAATACATTTAATCTACATTTTTGGAATGCATTTACAAATATATGTAGAAACATATGTTAAAATGACTTTTTTCATGTGTTAAAAAAACATCTGAAGAATATATTTAAAAAATATATATTTTTACAAATATTTTTCATATGTTATGTAATATAAAAAAAACGCATTTCAACATACAGTGTGTGTATATATATATATATATATATATATATCGAAATATATTGAATACGGCCAAAATTGTAGTATTTCAAATATATGTTAATATATTTGGGAAGAATGTTTTTAAAATATATTTAAAATATATTTTTCTTCCATGTGGGAACAAGCCTGCCTTTTAGTTACACAAAGCCACAGGTTTTCATTGTGTATCATTACGACCTTCTAGCCACCGGCGTCCTGACAACCAATGATATCAGTTGATAGGGAGGATGTCAGCTGCCTGCACGGCATCCTAGTTTTGACCCTCCCCCGCCCCTCTCCATCAGTGATGGGGTCACATTAGCTCAGTAATGGTGAAAAACCGAGGGAGAAGAGAAACATTGGAATACTGGTCAGTACCAGTGTGCAAAAGTGTATTTGCTTTGGAAGAATAACTCACCTCTAATGTTGGGAGTCCTACATGTTGCTGTGTTAGTTGAATAGTTTTTCACATTCCAGAATGGGGTGCCTCAGACTGTCCACAATTTTAAAGGGTGCCTCGGGACTGTCCTGAATTTTAAAGGGTGCCTCGGGATTGTCCTGAATTTTAAAGGGTGCCCAGGGACTGTCCATAATTTTAAAGGGTGCCTCAGGGACTGTCCATAATTTTAAAGGGTGCCTCAGGACTGTCCATAATTTTAAAGGGTGCCCTGGGACCGTTCATAATTTTAAAGGGTGGCTCGTGACTGTCCCATAATTTTAAAGGGTGCCTCAGGACTGTCCATAATTTTAAAGGGTGCCTCGGGACTGTCCATAATTTTAAAGGGTGCCTCGTGACTGTCCATAATTTTGAAGGGTGCCTCGGGACTGTCCATAATTTTAAAGGGTGCCTCGGGACTGTCCATAATTTTAAAGGGTGCCTCGTGACAGTCCATAATTTTAAAGGGTGCCTCGGGACTGTCCATAATTTTAAAGGGTGCCTCGGGACTGTCCATAATTTTAAAGGGTGCCTCGGGACTGTCCATAATTTTAAAGGGTGCCTCGTGACTGTCCATAATTTTAAAGGGTGCCTCGGGACTGTCCATAATTTTAAAGGATGCCTCGGGACTGTCCATAATTTTAAAGGGTGCCTCGGGACTGTCCATAATTTTAAAGGGTGCCTCGGGACTGTCCATAATTTTAAAGGGTGCCTCGGGACTGTCATAATTTTAAAGGGTGCCTCGTGACTGTCCATAATTTTAATGGGTGCCTCGGGACTGTCCATAATTTTAAAGGGTGCCTCGGACCGTCCATAATTTTAAAGGGTGCTTTGGGACCGTCCATAATTTTAAAGGGTGCCTCAGGATTGTCCATAATTTTAAAGGGTGCCTCAGGACTGTCCATAAATTTTAAAGGGTGCCTCAGTGACTGTCCATAATTTTAAAGGGTGCCCCGGGACTGTCCATAATTTTGAAGGGTGCCTCAGGACTGTCCATAATTTTGAAGGGTGCCTCAGGACTGTCCATAATTTTGAAGGGTGCCTCAGGATTGTCCATAATTTTAAAGGGTGCCTTAGGATTGTCCATAATTTTAAAGGGTGCCTCGGGACTGTCCTGAATTTTAAAGGGTGCCTCGGGACTGTCCATAATTTTAAAGGGTACCTCGGGACTGTCCATAATTTTAAAGGGTGCCTCGTGACCGTCCATAATTTTAAAGGGTGCCTCGGGACCGTCCATAATTTTAAAGGGTGCCTCGGGACTGTCCATAATTTTAAAGGGTGCCTCGGGACTGTCCATAATTTTAAAGGGTGCCTTGGGACTGTCCATAATTTTAAAGGGTGCCTCGGGACTGTCCATAATTTTAAAGGGTGCCTCGTGACTGTCCATAATTTTAAAGGGTGCCCCGGGACTGTCCATAATTTTGAAGGGTGCCTCAGGACTGTCCATAATTTTAAAGGGTGCCTCAGGATTGTCCATAATTTTAAAGGGTGCCTTGTGACTGTCCACAATTTAAAGGGTGCCTCGGGACTGTCCTGAATTTTAAAGGGTGCCTCGGGACTGTCCATAATTTTAAAGGGTGCCTTGTGACTGTCCATAATTTTAAAGGGTGCCCAGGGACTGTCCATAATTTTAAAGGGTGCCTCAGGACTGTCCTGAATTTTTAAAGGGTGCCCCAGGACCATCCATAATTTTAAAGGGTGCCTTGGGACTGTCCATAATTTTAAAGGATGCCTCGGGACTGTCCATAATTTTTAATGCCCCGGGACTGTCCATAATTTTGAAGGGTGCCTCGTGACTGTCCATAATTTTAAAGGGTGCCTCAGGATTGTCCATAATTTTAAAGGGTGCCGCGGGACTGTCCATAATTTTAAAGGGTGCCCCGTGACTGTCCATAATTTTGAAGGGTGCCCCGGGACTGTCCATAATTTTAAAGGGTGCCTCGGAACTGTCCATAATTTTAAAGGGTTCCTCGGGACTGTCCATAATTTTAAAGGGTGCCTCAGGACCTTCTTTTAAAGGGTGCCTTGGGACTGTCCATAATTTTAAAGGGTGCCTCGGAACTGTCCATAATTTTAAAGGGTTCCTCGGGACTGTCCATAATTTTAAAGGGTGTCCTGGGACCGTTCATAATTTTAGAGGGTGCCTCGGGACTCTCCATAATTTTAAAGGGTGCCTCGTGACTGTCCATAATTTTAAAGGGTGCCTCGTGACAGTCCATATTTTAAAGGGTGCTTTGTGACTGTCAATTTTAAAGGGTGCCTCGGGACTGTCCATAATTTTAAAGGGTGCCTCGTGACTGTCAATTTTAAAGGGTGCCTTGACTGAAAAAAGGTTGAGAAACACTGGTCTAGGCACACAAAAAAAAAAAAAAGTTCTACTTTAACTTTTTGCAAGTATGCGGACAGCTCCATTCTTTAACTCACAAATGGACACTATGTAACAGAAGTTGGCAATGTTCTAGCACTTCATGAAACATATTAATATCTACAATTACATTTATGCTCAGTGATGAGAACCCTTAACACTGTTTAATGTGCAATTAAGTCTCTTTCACAATAAATTAAGCCGTGTGGCTACAATAAAACACAACCTCTACCGTCCAGGCGGGGAGAGGAAACTGACCCATCCGGAGCCAAATATATGACTTACTACCCTTCCTGTCTTCAATTACTGAATCATGTAAATCTGCTGGTTTTATGGATGATGTCACAAAGGGTGATACTTTGTTACGCGGACAATATTGCTTTTAGTTATTAACCAGTTATCCAGACTGAACACCATACACATAATAGACACAAATGAATGCGGCTCCGTAATCATTAATACATCAGTAAATGTACATTTTTAAATGCAAGTAACTGAATTGGACCCAGAATCAGCCTCTCACCATCTTTATACAGCAGATCTCAGACTAGAAGAGGCAGAAGCAGCCCAAGAAAGCAAATAGTTGCTGACAAGAAAGCATGCTGATAGGAGAAGAGAGCAGAGTAACCGAAGCATGAGCTCGTCACTTTGCTGCTTTTTCTTTCATTGTTTAGTTACATGCTGGGGGCAGGATCATCATGAACTGGGCTCAGAGAAAGTGCATTGAATGATCAGGATGGGGACATCTAGTGGCAGGAAAAAAGTACTGCATTGGGAAATATCAGGATTGAGTCCCCGGTCACACAAATCTGCCTTTGAAATCGTGCGACTGCCAGTGAAGTTGCATGATTTTAAAGTTGGATAGTTATTCCGACTTGAGGTGCAACTTGCAAGACATCTGCGGCTTGCAAGACACAGATGTTTGTGCAATGGGCAGCACAGTGGCTAAATGGTTAGCCCTTCCACCTGGCAGTACTGGCACTCTTTACATCTGGAGGAAAAGAAATGTAATCTCCAAACATGGAAAGGTTTCTTCACAGTAAGAGCTGTGAGAATGTGGAATAGACTCCCTCAAGAGTTGGTTGTGACCAGCTCAGTGGATTGCTGTATGAAAGTCCTGGATTCTTTCTTGGATACAGAGAATATAACTGGATATAACATTTATAGGTAAAGTTGATCCAGGGAATATCCGATTGCCTCTCAGGGGATAAGGGAGGAATTTTTTCCCCTGCAGGAGCAAATTGGTTTGCTGGGGTTTTTTTTTTTTGCCTTCCTCTGGATCAACTGTGGGTGTAGGATTATAACTTCTTTTTTTTTAATGGTTGAACTGGATGGACTTTTGTCTTTTTTTCAGCCAGACTAACTATGTAACTGTGGGAGTTTGAGGGGGCCACTGTGGAGCTGAGGGTTCTTAGGGGATCTGGGGGCACTGTGGGAAGTTGAGGGGCATTGAGGGAGCTGAGAGCTGTCATGGACTCTGGGGGCAGTTGAGGAGCACTGTGAGAGTTGAGGATTCATAGGGGGTCTGGGGGCACTATGGGAAGTTGCAGGGCACTGTGGGAGCTGAATGCTCTTAGGGGGTCTTAGAGCACTGTGTGAGGTCGTGGGGCACTGTGGATGCTGAGGGCTGTCAGGGGGTCTGAGGGCACTGTGAAAGGTTGAGAGGAACTGTGGGAGCTGAGGCTCTCAGGCAGTCTGGAGGAAAATGGGAGTTTGAGAGGCACTGTGGAAGTTTGAGGGGCACTGTAGGAGCCGAGGGCCCTCAGGGGATCTGTAGGAGGTTTAAGAGCACTAAGGGAGCTGAGAGCTGTCCTGGAGTCTGGGAGCAGTTGAGGAGCACTGTGGAAGTTGAGGATTCTTTGGGGATCTGGGGACACTGTGGGACATTGGAGGGCACTGTGAGAGCTGAAGGCTTTAAGGGGGTCTGGGAGCACTGTGAGAGGTTGAGGGGCACTGTGGATGCTGAGGCCTCTCAGGGGGTCTGAGAGCAATGTGAAAGGTTGAGGGGCACTGTGGGAGCTGAGGTTTTCAGGCACTCTGTGGGCACTGTGGGAATTTGAGAAGCACTGTGAGAGCTGAGGGCTCTCAGGGGATCTGGGGGCACTATGGGTGGTTGAGGGGCACTGAGGGAGCTGTCATGAAGTCTGGCAGCAGTTGAGGAGCACTGTGGGAGCTGAGGCTTTCAGGCACTCTGCGGGCACTGTGGGAGTTTGAGATGCACTGTGGGAGCTGTGGGCTCTCAGGGGATCTGGGGGCACTATGGGTAGTTGAGGGGCACTGAGGGAGCTGGGAGCTGTCATGAAGTCTGGCAGCAGTTGAGGAGCACTGTGGGAGCTGAGGTTTTCAGGCATTCTGCGGGCACTGTGGTAGTTTGAGAGGCACTGTGGGACCTGCGGGCTCTCAGTGGATCTGGGGGCACTATGGGAGGTTGAGGGACACTGAGGGAGCTGGGAGCTGTCATGAAGTCTGGCAGCAGTTGAGGAGCACTGTGGGAGCTGAGGTTTTCAGGCATTCTGCGGGCACTGTGGTAGTTTGAGAGGCACTGTGGGACCTGCGGGCTCTCAGTGGATCTGGGGGCACTATGGGAGGTTGAGGGGCACTGAGGGAGCTGGGAGCTGTCATGAAGTCTGGCAGCAGTTGAGGAGCACTGTGGGAGTTGAGGTCTTTCAGGGGATCTAGGGGCACTGTGGGAGGTTGAAAGGCACTGTGGGAGCTGAGGGCTCTCAGAAGGGTCTGAGTCATTGTGCGAGGTTGAGGAGCAATGCAGGCTGCTATGAAAGGTCTGGGGGCACTATTGGAGCTGGAAGGCACTGTGGAAGGTTAGGGGATCAGCAGCTGACTGGAGCAGGCATGAAAGGAGTGAGGTGGTGGCAAGGTGGTTGAGAACCCCCAAAAGGCCGGCTATAGCCAACTCAAAAATGGATGTGTTTCTACATACAAAAAATATTAATATTAATATTTGTAAGATTTTTTTTTCATTTTTGGGTTGAACTTGAAGAACAAATGTCTTTTTTTAGTCCAACCATAAAATGAATATGTAACATATATTTGCTTTCAGTGAGTGAGTATAGTTTTGGACCCATAATACCCTATACACCCCCCACAAAGAAGGTTTCCAGGCTGTTCTTCTGACACGTTGGAAGGAAATGTTCTTTGCGTCACCCCTACCTGTCCTCAGTCAGAAAAACTGTCTGACCCGACCATGCCTTGCAGCTGCCTGTACGACAGACATTTGTCAAACGCATTAGATATGAGCAAATGGCTCCAGACACTTGACACAGATGTTAAAGGAGGGAGAGTTTAATTACTGGCATGCCGCGTTAATAAAGTCTGATTTATTTATAAAATGCTTCCTCCTTCACCTGCTGGCTTGCAACAATGATTCCCCGCGCTCCATCGCATCCATCTCCAGGGTCGCACCAGTGATACAGCTGGGAGAGCCACTAAACTTCATCTCATTCAGATAAGGATCATCCCAGAGCGTTGACTTGACTTTATAAGGGACGTACTGCCGGGTAGAACAGCTGGGCCAACTTTCAATCGCAAACCCTCCAGATGTGCGCTCAACTCCATCTTAAAGGGGAAGTTCTGCCTGCTTTTGGCACCTATCTTCTTCTTGATCTAAGGCTTTGAGTTCCACCAGCTAGAGGGAACCAGAAATCCCAGCATGCCATGCCCAAAAGATTAATCGGAAAGCTGTTGCACTCAGTGGTTTGTGGGTCACCAGCAATGGCATAATTACCTGGGAAGACTGGGAGGATACTGTCTTATGATAATAAACAATGGTGGACCACATCACAGGTCCTATGGACATTGACATGCCTTGCAGAGGTTGTAGATGTGGCTAGTGATGATAATAACACAGTGGAAATCAAACATTAAAAGAAAAAAATACATAGCAAAACATTTTTTTTTTCTAACTGTCCATTTCCACTGTGTTGTCATAACCACTGGCTTCTATCCCTGACTAAGAGGGCTTAACCAAGAAACGTGTTGACTTTTCTCCGACTACAGGTTTTGATATACTA